CCCGGGGCCGGCGGTGCCGGGGTCATCGGGATGATGCGGACGCAGTGTCTGCTGGGGCTGCGCACGTTCGTGGCCTTCGCCGCCAAGCTGTGGAGCTTCTTCATTTACCTTTTGCGGAGGCAGATCCGCACGGTGAGCCTGGGTGGGCGCTGGTTGTGGTGGGGACCTCTGTCAACGGCGCTCACGGGTTTTCGAAAGTGTCGGGCCTCTGTTTGGTTCTGGCGGCGGCTTCTCCCCTTAGAGAACTCGGGCACCTTTAGCAGAGCATGGGGTGGAATGGGGAGGAGGGAGACCCTTGTAGTAGAACCGAGATCGGGGGGCTTAGATGGGGACAAGATCTGGCAACTCTTGGGGGCTAGGGTGGTGGGTGGGGCGCTCTTAAGAAAGCTGGAGTTGCTGCTAAAGGAACCGAGAGGCGGGGAACACCTGTTTGATGGCAGCAGATCTGTTAATGTGGGCTTATGAAAGACCCTCCTGTTCTTAGGAAACTCCGTGTTTGTTTGGTCTTATAACAAGGGAGAGACAGGCTTGAGTGTCAAGAGTGAAGGTGGGTGGGAGGGTATATGTGACAAACAAGGATGGGAACTCGGGAAAAGCCCTGGGTGTAAAGGAGAAACCCCTGCAGTTTGCATTAAGGGAACTCCTCCAAAAAGCCCAGAAAACTTACTTCATAGTGTGAATGTGGGTACCTGGATTTATTGAGATTCTGGGACTAAGATTTTTTTTATGTTGTGGAAGAGAGCACATTAAGGTTTGGTTGTTCCTATCAGTAGACCGTGCTTGTCGGTCATAGGCTTGAATCCCAGGGCAAGGCACCCTTGTTTCTCCTGGAGACCCCTAGTATGGTGAGGGGTACTGTAGACAGTGGAGACTGCATGTATCCCAAGTATCCCTGGGTTCACTCCCCCATAGCTTTTCTCCAAAGTCACAGTTACTTAGGCTAACATCATTTAATAAATGGACTCTTGTGTTCTCATCACCATTGGGGAGAATCCTCTGAAGGAGTCTGGGAAGAATTAAATGAGCTGGGGTGCAGAGGTTTTCTGGTCTGTACTCTTAGGCATACCTCAGTAAAACCTGAAAGAATAAAACCAGGTAGGAGCTGCCTAGGTGAAGGAATTTCCAGAAAATCCTGGGTGGTGATGGTGGACTTTATTGATGGGGGAATGGGCCTGGCCTTGCATTTAGTGTCTCCTTTACCATTCTACTCCTTCCACTTCCTGGGTGGTCATGGTTGTAGGCAGGGCTATTTCCCTGAGACAGGAGTTGGGAGGCAAGAAGAATTTGGGGTCAGAGATGCTAAGATATGTGTGGGGCTAGTGCCTGGGGTTTTCTTTACATGTTAGCTGCCATCCCTCTTTCCCTGGCCTTGCTCTGAGCGTCTCATCTTCTTTCTCTAACACCAGTTTTTGTTCTGGGGTGTAGGGAGTAGTTAGTGCTTCAGCCCATCCAGAGGTTAGTTGCTTTCCTTTGAGTGGCACAGATCCCACAGCCTTTTGTCTTGTCTTCCCTTCCAGTCTGGCCTTTTCCCCCACCCCCTTTCTGGCAGATACTTGGAGCAGTCCCTACATGCCCAGCATGTGCAACCCGAGATAGCAGGGCAGGACACCCGAGCTGTTGCAGCCCTCATGGTGGCCCAGGGAGAAAAGAAGGGCAGATGCCTTGGGATTAGGGTTGAGGGCCCTTTGGTTTGCAAGGGGGAACCTGATGCTGGTGAGGCTCAGGGCCTATGGATGGACTGAAGAGCATTTGTCTGTGCCTTAGAAGAGCAGAGGAAGGAATTACTAGGCTTTGCATGGGGAATATTTGAGTGTTAGAAATAAGAGCCTCTGGAAAAAGCTTGGAGAAGCTGGAAGGCTGAGGTGGTGATGTCCTTGTCCCATCTTCACCTCTTACAGCCCTTGCTTCACTCTGGCCTTCTCCACACCCGATCAGTTGGCTTGGCAGGTGGGGCTTTCCAGTGTCCTCTGTCTTGCCCTGGGTACCAGGAAAAGGAGGCTGTTCAGAGGACTGAGGTTCTTTGCAACTTGTGACTTGGCTTATAGAGACAGAAATGGACAGGTGGCTGGTTAAAATAGGCCTGGTGGCCCCTAGCCAGAGGAACTTAGCTGACCTGACAACCCCTGGATTCCCTCATCCTCTCTTCCCCCTAGGGACCCAAGGACCTCCCTTCTTGACTCCTACTCCATGTCCACTAAGAAATCTAAGGCTGATGGAAGTTGTCACAAAGAATCTTTGGGGTGGAGGTGGGGAGAGCTGTGCATTTCTTTGTTCAATGTAGCAAAGTGATATCATGGTTAAGAGAACAGGTTCTTCCATTGGATTGCATGAGTACAGTCCTGGCTTTACCATTTCATTGATTCTAATATTAACTGACCACCCCTGCTACAGTGTTCTAGGAATACAACCATGATGGAGACAAAATCCATGCTCTCATGGAGTTGTCATTCTAATTGGAACAAACAACTAAGATAATTCCTAGCTCTGTGGCCTTAGGCAATGTATTTAACATTTTTTTTTAATTTTTTTTTAATATGTCTTTATTGATTTCAGAGAGAGGAAGGGAGAGGGGGAGAGAGAAACATCAATGATGAGAGTCAATGATGGAGCCCGCAGCTCAGGCATGTGCCCTGACTGGGAATCAAACCGTGATCTACTGGATCATAGGTCAATGCTCAACTGCTGAGCCATTCCAGCTGGGCAGTTTCTTTATTCTTAAAATATAATATTATTACTGCTTTTATTGTTATTATTATCAGGGTTGTTTTGAGAAATAAATGAAATGATCCTAAGTCACTTATACAGTGCCCAACATGGTAAATGTTCAACATGTGCTACTTTTTGTTACTGGGGAAGATTTTCTTGTCTAGGGTTCTAATCCTGTGTTTTGTTCTCAGGTAATTCAGTACCAAACTGTTCGATATGATATCCTTCCCTTATCTCCTGTGTCCAGGAATCGGCTAGGTGAGGATGCTGTCTGGGAAGATCCTTAAAGGTGAGGTAGGGTTCAGAGTCTGGGCTGGAGGTTGGTTGGTGTCATTTCTTCCTGTGTGGTTCAGGCCAGGTTAAGAGGAAGATCCTGGTGCTGGATCTGGATGAGACACTTATTCACTCCCATCATGATGGGGTTCTGAGGCCCACAGTCCGACCTGGAACACCTCCTGACTTCATCCTTAAGGTGTGTGTGGGGTGGGAAGTGATGGAATGGTTATAGCTGTGGTTTTACTTAGATCTTTCCCAATCCCAGAATGTGTTATCACGGTCCCCATCCCCTGGTACCAGTGTCAGCCTGGAGGAGGGAAACAGGCAGTGGGCGGGTAGGGGGTGTCCATCAGGCTGTTCTGTGGTGCTCAGGACTTCTTCCAGCCCTTCCCTGTTCTCTACAGGTGGTGATAGACAAACATCCTGTCCGGTTTTTTGTACATAAGAGGCCCCATGTGGATTTCTTCTTAGAAGTGGTGAGTTTGCAGGAGCCAAAGGGAGGTCTGTGATGAAGGAATGGTTTTAGGTCTCTGGTAATTTAGAAGATTTGGAGGAATAAGGGGTGAAGAGAAATGGCTAAGGGCAATTTTGGGGAAGGGAGGTTATGGGATGGTTGGAGAATGGCTTTTGGTAGTTTGGGTTCATTTGTTTTGCTGGTATACTTCTATTCTTCTACAGGCTTCCTGCTCTTTTGTTTTTGCATCTTTGAATCTTAAGGGTAAATGGTGCCTAAGACTCTGAGTTTAGGGGCACTCAGAATTTTGTGTCCTCAGAGACATTTGATATTACTGAAAGTTCTGAAGGACAAGGCTGGAGTCCCAGTGAAGGGGAACGATATGTCTAAATGATCACCTCTTCTGACACCTCCTTCTCCCTCTATCTGTTTCAGGTGAGCCAGTGGTACGAGTTGGTAGTGTTCACAGCAAGCATGGAAATTTATGGCTCTGCTGTGGCAGATAAACTAGACAATAGCAGAAGCATTCTCAAGAGGAGATACTACAGACAGGTAAGGGGCCAGAATCCAGGTATAAGTGAAGCTATGGAGGCAGGCCACCAGGGAGGGATTTGAATTTGAGGCAGTTGCCCTGGAATGAGACTTTCTGAGGACGTGAGGGAGGCATACTGCATGATCCCCTTTGTGGGAGTTTGGCTGCCTATGGTGTTGTTGGGATTGGGGGAGCAATCACAGAGGGTGAGTCTCCTTTTGATACCCAGCTCACCCTGCCTTCCAGCACTGCACTTTGGAATTGGGCAGCTACATCAAGGACCTCTCAGTGGTCCACAGTGACCTCTCCAGCATTGTGATCCTGGATAACTCCCCAGGGGCTTACAGGAGCCATCCAGGTATGGGGGAATGTGGTAAGTCTGGCAGGACCAGGAAGTGGTTCCTGAATGCATGGAGCTGGGATGCCTTACTTGACTGTATGTCAAGGTGCAAGTTGTTTCTCTTTTAAATGTTTCCCTCTCCCCCAAATGTCCATTTCATAAATTAGATTCCTCATAGCAGATTTGCTTAGGGTCAAACACAATGGCAATAGATTTGACTGGAAGCCTTGTACTAGTATGAGATACGGTGATTGAAATTAAATTTAATTTTATTTTGGAGTATAAATCAAGACGGTTTTACTTAGATTATTGATTTTGGGTTGGTGGGTGGTGGTGAGATATATACATGTATTTTAAAGTAATGATCCTTACTCCCAAATAAAAGAAAAAACACCTTGTCCTTCTTGAATCTTTTGTTTCTTCTCATGTGCATTTTCCACTCAACCTAGACAATGCTATCCCCATCAAGTCCTGGTTCAGTGACCCCAGTGACACCGCCCTTCTTAACCTGCTCCCGATGCTGGATGCCCTCAGGTAAGGGAAACTAGACACTTAGATTTCTGAGGAAAGGAGGAGGTGGGGGAATCCCAAGAGGGAATAAAAGTTTGTCCTGTTTTACTTATTTATCTCTCTTCCCTTAAGCAGTTAGCATTTGAACCAAGGTCTTATACTAAAGCTGATCACTTTTAGCCATTGGGTTTTGGGCATACTGAACCTCAGTCTCATTATGTGGAAATGGTGACTGCCCCACGTCTCCAGTGAGGCTGCCTCACACTAGTGTTGTGGGGATATCAACTATAAGGACTCTACCAATGTAAGTTATTGTCATCCCAGGTTCACCGCTGATGTTCGCTCTGTGCTAAGCCGAAACCTTCACCAACACAGGCTCTGGTGACAGCTGCTCCCCCTCCACCTGAGTTGGGGTGGGGGGGAAAGGGAGGGTGAGCCCTCGGGATGCTGTCTGATGCCCTGTCCAACGGTGAGGACTGCCTGGGCAGGGTCTGCCCCTCCCTCCCCTCTCTGCCCTGGGAGCCCTGCACTCCATATGGAGTCTGGATGGACACATGGGCCAGACTCTGAAGCAGCCTCTCTCTAACTTCGTGTTCGCACTCCCTGGAAACCCCAGACTGGGACATAAGCGGAGGCCTAGGAGAGCTGAAACAATGTCTGTGGTGGAGAGAGAGGACTGGCCAGAGTGAGAGACAGACATTCGATAATCCGGGAGGCTCAGAGAGAAGCCAAGCCAGCTTTGTTGTGATTTGATTTTTTAAAAAACTCTTGTACAAAACTGATCTAATTCTTCACTCCAAGGGCTGGGTTGTGGGTGGGAAACTGGGATTTGGGCCACTGGATTTCCCCCAAACTTGTCCCCCTCCCTTACTTTTCTCTATATTTTCCTTTCCTAGATTCCCTCAGACCTGTAACCAGCTTTCTCTCTGTT